CAGGCGGCGCTAAAATCCAGGTTTTTGAGACTGTGGCTGCAGTTTCTTTGAAACTAAAAGAGATAGAGCCTTGGTTTTTTCACAAGTGAATGACCAAACATAGACAAGTAGAACAAAAAAATTTATCAAAATCGGTTCAGTAGAAATTGATTTATAGCCGGTGCACTCTTTCGGATACAGCGGTACAATGATTGTGCTCTTCGCTCATATATACATATAAGAGCTTTGCGTTCTCTTATCCATCGCCACTTGCCTCAAAAACAGCTCCCCACAGGAAGTGTTATGTATGCTCTCATACAATACAACGTGAAAAACCAATCAAATACACAAGATATCAGTGTGAAGGATGTAATGTTGGATTATGTATAACTAATTGTTTTATACCTTAAAATACTTTTGATAATGATTTTTCATTGAATAAACATCTATTTTAACTCTAATAATAGGCTTAATTTTTTCAAAAAAAAAACCCGTCCCGAAAGGGTTAAGACGTTTTTCTTTTGAAGAGTAGTAATGATTTTAAAAACACGTTTTTTAATTCGATGTGTATAGAAAAACTTTCTTACAGAACGAATAGCAAGTAAGTATTATACGACTCAGGGAAACGTCTATGCTACGGTTCTATATGACTGATTTTCAGTCTTTTTGAAGATACTATAGCCATTCGTAAAAACATCAAAGTTTGAAACGTCTCATTATGTATAAAAATGAATGAGCTGTCATGTTTATCACATTCGGATTTCGCAGGTCTCTAAAAGATCGAATTTTGACTAAGTAAAACCTCAAGCAAGCGACCGAGTTAGTCGAGTTTTCTTTCCTACAAACAGACTGCATTGTTAAGATGAGACATAGGTCTCACAAAGAATTTTGAATTGTGAGATACAGGAAGAGAAAACGATAGAAGTTTGTCTGAACAGCCGGTTTTTAATAAATCTAATAAGTTTTCAATAGCTCTCTAGTGAAAGCAGTGGAAACTGCACTCTAGGCATTTGAAAAGTGTACCAATAGATATAAGGATTGGTTCTAATGCTTGTATTATCATTGGATTTTGGTTTTATAAGCATATGAAAAGATCTAGTTTGGTACACCATATTTTGACTTGTGATTCATCCTAATACATATTCTCTACACATCCAGTACATTTTGGAACTTTTCTAATCATATTATTTGAACACTATTGATCAGCAGAGTATACAGTAAAAATATTAACTCGATATGATCTATAGAATTTAAAAGAAAACTGGACACGCATAGACCAATATTGGTGACAATGCCGACATTTCCGCAAGTTTTCATAAATAAAGATTAATAACTTTTATAGTGTACACTTAGCGGTGTTGAGAGAAATAGATGCGAATAGACGAGACTATACATGAAGGGTGATTTTACTCGAGAAAACGTCGTCCTCATGTACCCAAAACTAGTCGTAGTGAATCGGCAAACGTTAATCTAGAGTAAATAGACGAAACGATAAAAAATGAATAGATATCATTATTGCTCAGAAAGCTTAGTTTCTTTTTTATTAGATAATTAATCAAATCGTCCTGAAGGCTTCTAATACCAAGCATTATTTCATAAAACATCAGTTACTCATAGAAAATTTTGATACCTTGAGCAATGATTAAAGTAGAAAGAAAGACAAAAGTAGATGTAATGGACTGTTGTTCATGCGTGCTGATCACAGTCAACATATGGCTAGCTTATAATATTAAAGTTATACTATATTTTCTAAAGTTAAGTGTTTTAATCATTATTGTGATTCATTATTTTTCACTTTCTAATTTAGTACCGTGTATAATTGAACTTTTCAGGCTCAAAATAAAAGAGTAATGTTTTGATTGTGAACAAAGATGGTTCATTCAATCTATTATGCTAATAATAAATGTCAAGAACAAAATACCATAAAAGAAATGGCTTTTACACGAAAAATAACGCCTCAGTGAGATTCTTCTTTTTCACATTTATGATTTATTTATTTGTTTTTTGTCGAGTTTAATTAAAAAATTCTTTCTCTATAGATTCTAATAAATTAAAGAATGAAGAATCATTTGATCTTGTGCATTCTTGTAAGATGAATACGACTCTGTTATTCATATTTATTGAAAATGCAAGATGATAATAGAAAATGCGTAAAACTTGCTTTAGCTTTTAGGCACGATGTTACTAAAACAAGTTACTGGCTTCGTAATATAGATCACAAGTTTGTCTATCTGGCACAATAATGTCATCTATGAGCTGATAAAAAGTTTTTTTCTAGAAAATCGAAAACAATTATCTGCTGTTTTACAACCGTATTCTGAATATCTGTGCGTTTTCAAAATAGAATTATTCAGTTTTGTATTCGGTTCAACTTAAACTTAACTGGTTCGGCGTCGGATCGAATCAGACAAAAAAAATTTTCAGGTTTCATTTGAACTATATAAGTAGAAAAAGAATAGAGAAGATTTTCGTCGAATGACTTTAACCCATCTATTTTCGCAATTTATATCTGCTTTCTATCGAAAAAGATCTCTGTTTGTTTTCGTTCTTTCTGGTACCGTTTGGTGTGCGTTTTAGACCCTTGAATTTGTCAGTATATATCAACAGAATTAAATTAAATAAGTTTTCATTATATTCGAATGATCATACTTCTACAGTATCCACTTGAGAAAAAAGATTCTTACTTTCGGATCATTGTCAGACTAAAATTGGAAAATATTATAAGTAATTAGGTTCTGACTTGGGTAACACATTGGTGACTTGATTCGGTCTCTGAAGAATATGTAAAATGTGAACAAAATCCGTGAGTTTCAACACTAGGAATTATAGTCCCGGTTATTTTTGAATAAATATAAATTGAACTATTTCTCATGCATGTCAAACCTGTCTAAAATTTCAGACCAAATTTTTCTTAGAACTTCTTTCTTTCAGAATCTGACTCACTCTGATCGGTTCTTCATACAGAATCATCCTTAGAAAGTAAAAGTACAAGTTCTTCTACGCATTCACGAACGCCAGTATTCTTAAACTTTACCAGTCGAAATAGTAGAATCAGACATCCGTTATTTGAACCAAAAACGACCATAACTGAATCGACCAAAACTGAACCTGCATAATTTTTTAACTACGCGAATACCTCTGAGGTGTTTCGAGACACGGGTAACTGCCACTCATGCAAAGTTTTTAGTACACTTGTTATAGCAGATATCTCGCGTGGTAAATGACCACTGAACAACCGTCGGACTTCACAGGTGTTTTCAGTGGATACACAAAATCAACTTCAGTATACTGAAGTAGAACTCGTTTCTATGAAGTAGCTTGTTTTCTATAAAGTAATATCGGTATCCTCTCGTTTCGTCCCACACTGGTTTCGTCCCGTTTACATTTTCTATCATTCTACTCATTTTATAACTATGCATTTTTTTCTATCAACTGTATACTAATCAATATTAATATAATTAATTAAGATAATGTAAGAAATTGATACGTATCACTATGGACTAGTCCGCTTTTCTAAACCTGGATCAATAACAGTTTAATTTTAACGAAGTCATTTTGTATACTCCATCATGTAGAGCTTAACTGTTTAACGGAAAACCTTTTGCAAAGAAACAATACTCATGAATGAAACAATGGCAAGGATCTGACGGTTTGACCGTTACATTGTTTCATGGACTATAAATTGAACTATCATATGCCTTCATGGCACCATTTAATACAACAATATTTATGTAATAATAATATATAGAAAGAAAACGTGGTGGCAAAATTCTTAATTTTAACGATCATCAATATACAAAAAAACGTTCTGTATAATACACAAAAAAAAATAAATCAACTGATGAGTGGCGTTGTCGAATTAGAAGTTGTAATAGTATAATTGTATTAGCTCGTGATGCTTCGACAGTTATTCATCCACCAACAGATCATTCACATACACCAGATCCAATTCAAGCAAAAGTTGATGAATTTAAAAATACGTGCAAAAAACGTGCAAGAGAAGAAACAACACCAGTATCCCAAATTCATAAACAACAATCAGTTAAATACAGTTTAAAACACAATGACGTATCATTTTTACCATCATATTCATCAATTGATTCATCATTTTATCGTGAACGATTAAAATATTGTCCAAAATAACCAAAATCAGTGTCAGATCTTACGTTAACTGAAAAGTGAAGTACTGATCTTCGTGACAATGTTTTTCTTATCAAGGATTTATATGAAAGTGATACACGTTTATTGGTATTTGGTTCCAAATGAGGTATTGAATATTTATCAGAAGTTGATACGTGGCATATGGATGGTACATTTAAAACTCGTCCATTATTATTTTCACAACTGTATATTATTCATGACTTCGTTAAAATTAAACTGTTATTGATCCAGATTTAGAAAAGCGAACTAGCCCATAGTGATACGTATCAACGTATGACTATGTCGTGTATCAATTTCTTACATTATCTTAATTAGTTATATTAATATTGATTAGTATACAGTTGATAGAAAAAAATGCATAGTTATAAAATGAGTAGAATGATAGAAAATGTAAACGGGACGAAACAAGTGTGGAACGAAATGAGACGGTACGAAACGAGAGCTAATTAACAAATACGGGACGAAACGAGAGTAATCCGTAATATCAGTCTACAGACTAGTACTACTTTATAGAAAACAAGATGTCTTATATTTTTATTCATTGATCGCACAAAAAATTTTACTTTCCATTGTTAGCTGCAAAATATTTCCGATTTTTTCAAAACTAAGTTTCACTAATATACCATATCGATAGCCTGATCGTTTTTCTATTTTTTCTCATGAAAATATTTACTTTTTCGTTCGTTCTTGCATACGAAATGATAACCTATTGAAGTAAAGTGAATGGACACGACGTGTACAAACCTCATCACTAAATAACCTTGTACTTCTTTTCCGTGTAATTTGACTTAAGCATTGACATAAGCTTAAACATTTCAATTTGTCATCTGATCTGTTAAAATGTTTAATAAGCCTATTTTGTCGAGAAAAAAAAGTAGGTTAAAAACAATGGATACACTTTACTTTTCTGGTTTATTTATTAAATTTTCTCTGAAAGACCGCATCGTCCTACAACGAAAATGAAATTTTTTCTCACAATTCTGTTCTGTGTTTTTGGCAAGTATTTTTGTCAAAATGGTTTTCCACAACAATTTTTTGCGGTTATCAATTATACTAGTCCTTTACCGTATGAATTCAAGACAGGTGTTCAACAGTTACTGTATGATTATAAAAACTTACGAACTCGATTTGATATCGAAGGTTGGAGAGCAAAACAGAATGAAACATATTTATTAGAATATAAACCAAAAGGGGCAGAACAAGGATCGGTAAGATCTTTTTTCTAAAAAGAAAAAGGTAATCTATTATATTCAGATTGATGAGAAATAAAAATTTTCATTCTTCGAAGAAACAAATTATATAATCTTTCGTTGTAAACTTTCCTTCCGCAAAAGAATAAACTACCTAAGAAAAGCTATTGTTAAGAAGTTAGAAGTGTATGTGCAGAGGAATTACTGTCTCATTATTTTTAGCCAGCTTCGGACGGTTATACATTGTTTAATTTTAATCCTGACTATCCGCAGTTCACAAAGGTATGTATAGTTGTGTAGTACAAGAATGTCACAAAACGTCCACGATATTTACCTGTTTTGTAAGAATAACTGTTGGTACCAGACACCTCCACTATCAGACTTTGGCCCAATTCCATATAGTTGGTCAGATAATGGTGGTCAATTAACTATGAAAGCATGGTTTCCATTGCCTAGTGATTTGATCAGCAAAGGTGAAGTTTGGGTACCTGAACTTCAATTAAATGCTGTGGTAAAGATTTTGATTTTTTATTAAAACTTGCTGTTTGAAGGTATTAACATGCTACTATATTTTCAGAGATATGATTCTCCAACTATTTGTGATTTGAAAAAATCTCGTATTGGAAAAGTGCCTTGTTTAAGTTATTTTGAAACAAAAGATGGTACAAGACCGGTTCAAACAATTGTTGCTCGCGCTGGTGTGGGAGATTTTCAGAACGATGAGTAAGATTTTCAAACTACTTTATTTCATTCGAATGAGACATGAATAAAAATAAAATAAAATATATCTCCGGACAGCTTCACGATACCTAGGTCGGTTTTCTAGCGAAGACTCTCTTAAAACTCAGCTATACATACAACCTGATATCTGCTAAAGTTTACTTACTACTACACACATTTTCAACAACTCGTTTATTAGATTTGAGTATCTCTTTAAACTGATCATTCGATGCCATATTCAGAAATCAAATTTTCATCTAATAAGTATTTGTGACAGAGTTTTGGAAACCTATTAAAGGATCGAATAAATGTGCAATCTAATCAGGTATTCTATGTCTTAGTAGATACTTTGGTATAATTAAACAAAGTAATATCTGCTCTTTTTTTCAACATCCTTGGCATCTTTCTTTTTTTTATATAGATATACTGTGGGCATGTACTTAGCTTTTACCAATGGTATTCCATCTTCCGCTGAGTCTATGTTTGATTTACCTGATGAATGGCCATCTTATTGTGGAAATGCCAATGCTGGTATAACTTATCTCAATTGTCTTTTACTCTGCAACTAGTGTTGTTATTGTTCTGTTTTTTACAAGGTTATAGTACAGAACCTACACGTGGTTTTGTCGTTACTCCAGATGGAAATGATAATTTTACATTGAAACTGACTACACCCCTAGTTCACTCACTAGGTGATAGTGTTACAATATCATTCAAAGCTAATCCTAGCCAGTACTATAATGGTACACAATGTGCAGAATTTAGTGGCGAAGGTGGAAGTAGAACAATTGTTTTTAATAGCAAGAATTGGAATGAACCTCAGAATATAACAATGTCGTTTAAAGGTAATTATGGATGTTGCTCATATCGAATCATTGGAGAAGGTGGTGGTTATGACTGGTTATATTCACAAGACGGATACACATTTGTTGTTTACGCATGTAATGGAATATCAGGTTGGGGTTGTCAAGGAAAAGAACCATGTGGTCAATGAATATTATGAGACAATTAAAATGTCATCAGTGCTATTTTTAATGTTCTAATATGGTTAAATATTGTTTTCAAAATATTAAAAAACATCTTCAATTCTTAGAATTATGGATAAAATTTCTTTTCATCAAATTTACTGATTTGAAGATATGAAAAAACATCTGATTACAGTACCAGTAATACCGTACCACTTAAGAGTACTAAAATTGTTTCAAATTATATTCTTACTTTTGCTTTTCCCACATTAATCAGAGAACGGTACCGAAGACATAACACCCTATGTTGTGATCAGGTATAATAAGTAATACACAAATTAACTTAAAACGACAGACAGTTTTTCCAATAGATGATGAAATGTTTATGCCTATATATAGCGCTTGTAATCCTGATGATTTTAATAGAAACATAACAAAAAAGATGGTCTTTTCGACAAGCTAAATCTCCTGTGTGAAGAGTATCGCATACATTTCACAAGCAAAGAGCAGAGAAAAGTATGTGTTCTGTATCAAAATACATTCAACTCACCTGATATATAAATGATTGAAACTTTATCTTGTGGGCAAAATAACTATCTTTCTATTAAATAAGAGTTCTTTCCATTTCCAAAACTAATCGGGATTCGTTGAATATTTATGACACTATGTCATGAAAGAAACATCAAGATAATATAATTAGAAATTTAATAAAGAATTCATTCTAGTCAAATCTCGAGAATTAAACATGATTTATAAATAAATATGTAAACTCTTCAGTCTCTATCGTAGTTACACTTAATTGATGACACATTTTGTGGTAAGTGTTGTAAATTATTTTATCTTTTTGAATGATAATATCTCTACAATGTAAGTAGTTCTAACAATAATTTTATTTATTTTATTACAAAAATATGCTAGAGTGCGCAGTCAGCAAAAGCTGACGAAAAGAAACAAAAAAAAAACTGAGTTGCCGCGTGCCCAAACATTCCTATCCTCTAGAAAAAAGGACCGAAAACAATAGATTATCCAGTTTGAAACATAGACATTATCGATAGAGATTTGCAAATTTTGCGAATGCATAATCAATATCAACTGGTTGAGCATCGGCTCTAAAAGATAAATAAAAATATATCAAATTAACAAATAATAATTAAATTTTTTTTAATATCTATACATACTCGCATAATGATGAATAAAATGCTTCTTGTTGTTTAATCGTCACTATTTCAATTTGTTTATGTTCTCGTGGCAGATGTAACAAAGCATTTTTTAACCATAAACAAAATTTTTCTGGAATATAGATTTTAAGATCACAAATAAATTCAGCCATACATATACGAGCTTGATATGGTAGGCCTTGAGAAACGGCTTTGATAATTGATAATATAACATCTGGAAAATATTCATCACATAATTTGATAGACAATTGTGTCTGTTCGACTGAATAAGATTTATCCTAAATAATAAAATATTTTTTATGAAACAAACTTTAATAAAAATGAAATAGAAGACGACTTACATGATGATGACTTTTATGTGATGTGCTGTTGTGACCATGATTATTATTATTATTTGTGGTAGTAGACGGTGTGGATGTTAATTTCACTAAACTTTGTAAAAATGCCATCATTGATGCACTAGCTTCACGATGTTCCAAATGACAATTATTCACGACATGAGCTAGTATTGGACGACTCAAATTAGATTTTAAAAAATCCAATGGACATCGCTGCAATAGACTAAAAAAGACAGAAAAGTACTGTAAGTAATTATTGAGATCTATAAATTTACTGGGAAATAAACTTAAAATGCTTGATTATCTCGCATGTGGCTATCTATGATGACCCACCTGAAAAAAATTTCAAAAAAATTCTGCCTTTCGTCTGATAAAAATGGTTGTTTTTACACTGACTACTGGAGATCATGAAGAGAAAATTCCTGAGATGTTTTAGAAGAAATGCACAAGATTGTTTCGTTTTTCGCAAGATGTTTCCAGTTATTTTTAACGAGCTCTTCATATTTCTAAAATATCTCGTTTCAGTTCAAGAAATTAACCGTACAATCGCATTTTTATTTTAATACCAACTCTCGCTAAATAAAGGAATACCTTACTTTTGAGACACAAAAAACCCAACTCGTCAGCTACATGTTAAAAAAGGGGTTTTTAAAATCGACTTTTCTAATATTGTACATTGAAATCTTCAAAAAATAAAAAATTTTACTTAAAATTTGGATGAAACTTAAGGCTTTTTTCCCATTTGCATTGCATAAGCGCAGATGTGCTGCACATGTTCATTAGATCCATCATGACCGATAACCTATAGCAAAATATCAACAAATTATTTAGCCCTCAACAGTTTTAAGTAAAATGCATTTAACAGAATCAAAACTTATTTTGCGTTTCTCTTAAGATTGTTTTTTAGCTTCAGGGCTTTCGTCACGTGCAGGAATTCTCGATAATGATACGACGGAGAAAGGAAATTTTTTTTTAATTCGTACATAACACCTATAACTTGGGTCTGACAGAGTTCGACTTTTAAATTATGCTTCCATGTTTTATAGAAATGAGGATTTTTAAGAAATCTTCTAAGGATTTTTCGGATTTTAAAGTTCTATTAAGTACCAGAAACCAGTAAATGAGAAATTCAAAAATCGGGCTCTGCCACCTCCTAGCCATAGGTACTTACGGCAAAACAAAAAAAGCTCGAACTCTCTATCATTTACCTGGAATGAAAACTCTTGTACATCGTAGGCGCCCATTTTTGACCCCTGTTGTGACGTCCCCTGACGAACAGTTGCAAGTGGCGTCCAAAAAACATTTCGTTATCACACTTTGACATGGTCAGCATTTCCTGAAAGTTTGGCTCAGATCAGACATACCTGGGCTGAGATAGATTTCTGATCCGGAGATTTGTGTTCATCTGTTTATGGAGAGTTAGCATTAAAATAAAATGCGACTGTACAGCAAATAAGAAAAGAGTTATTTTAGAAATATGAAGAGTTCGCTAAAAATAAACTAGGAACATCTTGCGAAAAACAAAACCATCTTGCGCGTTTCTTCTAAAACATATCAGAAATTTTCTCTTCGTGATCTCGTGTAGAAAGTGTAAAAATACGCATTTTTAACAGACGAAACACAGGATTTTTTTTCTCCAATGGGGAGATCATTGCTATAATGATCTTTAAGAGAATCGTTGGGATTGTTTGCATGAAAAAAAACGTTGTTTTCTCTGTACGATAAACACTTATTCAGTCCATAGACAAACATTTTGTGAAAACACCACTGAATCGATGAGTCACCCAGATAATCAACAATTTATGAAAGATTTCCATTCTTCCCAATCCTCTGATTAGAAAATCAGATCATCGGATAATAATAGTCATATTAGTGCAAGACATGTTTTGAACTCTATCACAAATTGCTCCGGACGCTTGAACAAATGAAATCATGTAAAAATACAAACGATTTTTTGTTAATAAAATAAACATACCGTGCAGCTAATCGATAAAAATCATCTACAACATCTGGATTCTCTTTGAAACCATTTGAACCGGCTAATAACGCAAAAGTTTTCGTCGCTAAATGCTAAAATAAAGAAAAAAATGACAAGCAACGATTTTTCTTTTTCTAATTTTTATCATCTATACCTCACTCATTGCTATAATATTCGATCGCAAATCTTTCTCATCTCCATACTCATCAACAATTACACTTGTTAAATAAAGAAAACATGAATGAGGATTCTCATCATAACTTGTCAACACCTAAGAATATATGTATATTATAGACAATATTCAGGAGATGATGTGCGATAAATAAATACTTACTAGTTTAACAATCGGTTCAAAGAATACTTTAGCTTTGAATCCCATTGATCGTAATATAAAACGGATCGTACGAGACCAGAACTCAGATACTTTTCCACTTGAACGATAGCGTAAAATTATTGTCTCTAATAATGGCCATAACTAAAACAAAAATCTCTAGAAATTGAAAATAGTTTTGATATTGTGAAGTATCAATAAGGATGTAGAAATTTACAGTAACTAATCGAATTCATATTATGAAATATTTCTTCTTCCTTTTTTTTTTTGTAGAAGATTCATAATTATTCTGAGAAAATAAAATATTTTATTTAAAACAGTCTTGTATACCTGTTGTACAATGTGAATACACGGATGAGGCTTCGGATCACTACTGGATATTTTGAAATCTAAATATCTGAAAGAAAGAATAATAATATGACAAAAAAATGTCAGATCAATGAACATAGGTTACTACCTGAATATGGCTGTGAGACTATCTAAACGTTTAATTATTGCACCGTAATTTCCATCAGATTGCACAGATATCAACTATAATACATAAACATCGTTTACATTAATAACATAGTGTGAACAAGAAAATCATGTACCTGTGAAAGCACTTCTCGCTGTCTGTCAAATAATAAATTAAGATAATGACTAATTTCATCCGTAGACGATAAACGAGATATCAGTTTAGATGAGGCTAAATAGAATAACATACTTCAATATACTAATTGATTTTTAGACAAACAATTTTGTGAAAAAGTAACTATTACAATGAACATAATTATCTACCTTTCAACAGAGATAAAGTTGCTTCGCTGCCTGGCGCAGTTTGATCTAACCATAGAGTTGCCTGCATCAATTTTTCAATTTGATCTAGAACTTGTTTTCGACATTGAGAACAAATTGTTAAAATAGCTTCTGCTGAAACAGAACGTAGGTCTTGATCCACTAATATTGATAATAAATAATCGATTACAGATTCTAAAGAAGAATAAAATAAGAAGCTACTATTGTCCTTGTAGTAGAAAAAAAAATGAGAAGTTAACTTACTAATATATTGTTGATGTTTTGCTAACCATTCATCTAATTGTCCTAATAATTTTATACCGGTATATTTAACAGATGTATGAACATGAGATGACATTGTTACTATCGCCTGAACAACTTTTGGTATTACTTCATCTTCTTCACTACAAAACATGACATACTTATATGGAGAGAAACGGATTATAAATAGAATATAGTACATACGGTAGAATATAAGATGCTACAGCACTCATGATATATAGTGGTGCTTCACTTTCTTCCCATGATGCTGAATTAATTTGAATTGTTTGTAATTTATCAAACATCTACATAATACACCATATAAATTCATATTATAGCAAAATGGGTTGTTACTTACTCTTCTGAAACAATTTAACGCTCCAGTTATATAAATAACATCTTTAATTAAACATGCTACACGATATCGAAATTCTCCAAAATCACTATTTTTTGATGATGGTTTTGCTTCAGGTGGAATACCAAGCTAAAATAAAATAAATTTTCAAAGACATTAAATTGTTTCTCATATTCAAATACGTAAATACAAATTTATAACTTAGAATAAGAGATCAGTCTGATTTGTGAACATCTACAATTACATAATATCTAGATCTTTAGATATTCAGTTCTTCCGATAGCTAGATGTACAGATACATAGATGTTCAAATCTTCAGATATCTTTATATTTTCTTTCACGGTGGCGAATATCAGAGAGAGTCTCACTCTCATCTTTCCTTTTTCCCATTTCCAGAAGAATGCATATTTTCAATTTATACTCGGAAAAAACAAGCTTTTGTGCTTTTCTATCTCCTCAGAAAAATACACATTTTGAAAGAAAGCTTATCTGTTTTTCTGTCACCATGGTTGTATACCAATTGTTTTTCTTCACTTTTGGAGACCGGTCTAAATATCTAAAGATCTCTCCCAAAAAAATCATCAATCTTTTCTAAAAATCATAATTGTAAAAATCAGATTCTGCTGCAAAACAAAAGAATTCATATTCGAAATTTATGCATTATGTATGTCATTAAATATTCATAAAATTGTTTTCACTTGATAGTTTTCAACATAATAGTACGTACATGATCCGAGTCTAGTTTAGATTGAATGCATAGAATATCGATTAATCGTTCAATATATGGTTTTATTTTATCGGACATTTCTTCACTACGAGACTGCAATAATTCACTTAATTTATACCATGTACAAAATGTACATTGGACAACCTAAATTAAATCAGAAATATCGTTATTATAAACAGAAACTACTGTTTGTAGTTGTCAGGTAATCTTGAAATCCATGGAATATACGAATATAGAATAGTCTCAGTATTGTTCATTCTGAAGTCTTCAATTCATTTTGTTGGTTTTTCAATGGCTACCTCTAACTACCGGTTAACAGTTCTAAGGCTCAAAGACAAGCCGACAGTACGTCTAAGGCGCTGAAAATCAAGGTATCGACTGACTCGCATTTTGAAGTGGACACTTTGGGCTATCTAATCATGAAAAAAAAACGAGAATATTCGTACTTCAAGTTTTTTCAGCTATGACCTACTTTTTCAAAGACCTTCTAGAAAATCTACATAAGGATCACCTCCCCTCAGAAATGATGATTCTCGGTCAAAAAATCAATTTTGACATAAGCACATGGAAGATAGCCTGAAGTGTCTACTTTCATAACCTGTATCGCTTTCGGTTATACTAGGGATTTTTTGTGGCTTTCAAGCAAGTTTTCTAGGAGGCTCGAAACACCGGGTCTTCAAATAACAGCTTTTTCCTGGATACTTATGCAATTAAATTTTTTTCTCGATGCATAGATTTGTAGAACAAACTTTTCTGATTAAAATAAGAGCTCGCACAATTCTATTTGTGCCTTGTGTCAAAAAATTACAAGTATTTTCCTACAAGTCCTAAAATTGAACATTGTATACAGCGTTTTCTCTACACGGGAGTTATGCCTGAAGTATTTGCTAAGATTTTTTAACATACTTTGAGCTAGAGAGTTCGAATTTATTTTATTTTAAACTAGACACCTAACTCCAGCTGACCGGCACTGATTTTCTAATTAGGTCTTAGCTTTTTGCCAAATTACGGGTTTCTAGAAAACGAGGATTCGCATTTTTGAGGTTGTGGGTTCTCCATAAAACGAACAAGGCTTAATTGAAAAATCGGCGGCGGTCAGCCTGTGTAGTTAGGTGTCTAGTTTAAAATAAAACAAATCCCAACTCTCTAGCCTGAAGTTTATTAAAAAGTCTTGGGAAATACTTCAGCATCCTTTTTGGATCTTGATCTTTGGAAAACTCCTAAACAGTTAGACTTGAAAGCAAAAAAAATTTTCATTTCTGTAACTCCTTGCGCCTAAGTTTCGTCAAGATCGGATGTACGGAGTCAGAGACAATTTGTGAGAGAGGGACCTTAAAAAAGCACTTTTGAATTAATGTCTCTAAGGAAAAGATGTCTTAAAGTCTTCTCTTATGAATGGTTCTCTTTTTTTACTTTTCGTTCTTGAGTTATTCACAAAATGGCCGAACAGTAATACTTTTTCTTTCTTACTTCATAATCAGTGTGTTCAACAGGAAGTAATAATAATTCGATACAGGATAGATCACTTAAATCGCTATATCGACCATCTACAATACAATCGAGTAAAGTTTCAACTAAACAACTGTAAATGCGTGAATAATTCTGTGCTCTAAAACATAAAAAAGACAAATATATTTCTAACACATTCAACATGTTTTAAATTTACTTGTCTAAATTTTCTTCTTTAACAGCTTGAAAATACGGGTCTCTGAAACATCCATTTATTTGATTTTTTAACGTCACTGTGAGTGTATAATAAGCCTGATAATCCTGAATATACACACAGAAGTGTAAATCATATTGAAACACACATATTATGTACATACTTCACACAGTTCCAACATATTGCATAAACAATTACATGCTACTTTATTGAGATCATTTGAACATTGATTCGATTTCTACAAAGAAACAAAAACTGATTAAAAAAAAAACATCTTTTTTAGCTATTGATAATTTACCAATATTTCTAGTATCATTGCAACTAATGCTGATTGCAACAGTAATGTTTCATCAAATGATCGAATCATAATCCAAGATGAAAAACATTTTAAAATAGCAATCAATATTGGCTCGTGCATATGATTTAATTGAAGAAGATATAACTAAAATATAAAATCAGAAGAAATGTTTCTCGAATTTTCTCTTCTATTAATATGGTCATCCATCAAATCTATAACTATACATATGACTGAATATTACAACGATCTAGTTGAAGTCAAAAGAAAATGAAAACGATTAACAAACCAGAATTTCATGTATTTGTGGTCCACTGGTACTATATTTTTCTGTACATTGACGGCGCCGATTTTCACCGATATGAATTGTTGACGTGTTGAGCTAAACAAAAATGCACTTTGTTTATTAATATTCCATTACACATATCAAACATCGTTAATATCATTTCATATTCGAAAATGGAATTAATCATATTAGTTTTCTTTTGAAACTTTCTCTTGATTTCTATGTATTTATTCATAGAAAAACTCGATTACATTACGCGATATAGCTTCTTTCTCGAAAAATTAAATAGTCCTAAGATATATTGATTTAAACATAAAAATTTTGTACTAACCTCTTCTGGTAAAGCACTGAGAAACTCTAATAATGTTAACATATGTTCACTGGATGTTTTCAATCTTTTAACAAAGAACAAACAAACAAATATAGATCAATCCAGTAAAATAAATATAGTTTTTTTTCTTCTCACTTGTCTACAACATCGTCGACTGGTTTTTCCCACCCAACGTATTGCAATGCTAAATCAGCTGTTGCGACAGCTAACTAAAATGAGAAAAGAAGAAAAAGCTGTAAACTCAGTCTCTGAACAAAACAAAAATATATTGATGAAGAGTGATATGAACACATAGATAAAGCAAAGGAACTTTCATCCAAAAATATTTTGTTTATTCCACCGTATTATTCTGCTTTTCTAAAATATCAAACGTACTTGAACTCTAACAAGTTGATTTTTTGTTACATCCGGTCGAGATAAATGATCTAACATTGAATCACATAATGCCTAAAGATAGAGAAAGAGAGAGTAGATAAAATTGAATAAAAGTTCAATTGAAAAAGAACTTACTTTACAATGTTCAAATGGTAATTCATCAAAATTATGCTGGATCTAAATGTAAAAGTAAAAATGATTCCATTGAATTCGATTGATCACTTTGTAAAAGTCTTAATTACTTTATGTCTTAGAATTTGTGCTGATAAACATGTTACTTCTGGATTTCCATTCATTCTAATTAATTGATCAGTCAACGTCCATGCGTACAACTAAAGAAAAAATACAATAAAAACATTAATAATAGGTGAAAAACATTTTTTCAATCTATTTACCGATGATTGAACATTTAATAACCATTCGGAGGCAAATTTTTTTCTCGTTGAATCATTATCGTGATAAAGCATTTGTACAGCTTGAATGAAATTTTCGGGTGTCAAATCAATGATTGCTTCTGATGCCATGTTTTTTATCAGTTACTCTGACAAAAATCTAAAATAGAAATAAAGATAAAATTCATTCTTTTCAATAAGATGTTGAGTTTATTGTTAAATTATCTTACATTTTCAGTATATTTTGATAATAAAAAATTAGAGAATATCTATTTTCTGCCTGTTCTTAAAATCTGCTAATACGTACTCAGTCTTTCATCTGAAATTGATCGTGACAAAAAACTTCATCCAAAATATGGAGTAGACATTGTTTTCAGGAAAAATGTGTGCAGCAAAGTGATCTGATTACTCATTCTCTTCCGACAAATACTAACAAATCACTCGAATTCGGCGAACACGTTCACAAATGTCGACTATAAAGACAAAGATAAATCATCTTCCACACCACAAACAATACTTGGTTGACTTCAGACAACACTTTATATTCAGGTATCACATGTTAGTTAATTCAAAAACGATATGTCTGATGAGAACTTGAACGTACATATATCCAAAAGAACACGAAAAATGTGCCTCTGACAACAAGGAAGAGAAAATATATTATCGTTCATTATTTCATTTCAATAAAATCAAGTAATCAAACACAATACATGAACATAGATTCATGTATTGATCACTGATCAAGCATAAAAAAGCATTTCATTTGTAATAGAAGTGAAAGGGGGAACATTAAATTTTTATTTAAATCTTTATTACGTAATATTTTTCGACGATAATTTTTGAAAAAAATGTTTGCTTCACCAACGAAATATGGACATGACCTAAATTTTTCGTTTCTCAATGGACACTTGTGTAAAGCAGCTGATCTGTTTATGCCAATCTCGAATCATTTCACAGTTCGCATATGATAGAACACCATTATAGTTACTAAATTTTAGTGTCTATTCGACATGAGAAAATTCTTTTTTAACAAAAATGTGTGAAAAGATTTAGCCCTTTTCTCCTTCTTTTATTTTCCCACTCAGGAAACAAACAGAAATGCAAATATATATAATATAAAAGGAATTTTTTCTTAAGGTAAAAAACAGAGTGAAAATTCCTTTAGGTCTTTTTCGATATGCTTCTAATCATTAAAACACTGTATCGAAACACATCATAAAAATTAACTAAATTGAACTACATGGTAGAAAAAAGTCAGCACAAAAAAATGTTGTATTATAACATTTGGATTAATCCATTAAATTTATATATGGGTCATGCAACATGTTAAATATTTTGTTTTTACAGTATATGATGAAGCAAAATAAATAAAAAAAAATAATTCAACAATCATTGGTGGCCTTTCAGACCAATAAAACATCGCATAAAATCCTATACTGACGTCATTTATACAAGAAATATTTAGTATTTGATAATTGACTGATTTATCATCTTCAGTTTCACGAAGAACATTTTTAGATGAAGCCAACTCTATTCTCAAACGACTGTATATATATATGATGTTTTATATCTCAGATTATCGTTCTTAAAATAAACAATTTTTCTGGAATACGATGATTTCTTATTTGCATTGATGACGTTAACTAAGAGTAATAATGTAAAATGTAAAAATTAAGTTTTATACGAATGATCCCAAAAGATTACTGCTGTTGCCCTCTTCTTCAAAGAAACAGCTTTTTTTCTCAATAGCTCTTTACGTTATATTTTGATTTTATTAAAGCTGTCGTCTAAAAGTTATTGGGAAACGTTGACTTATTCGAATGTATGACCTTTAAATCATTGGATAGCAATTGTAAATCGAAAAAATGGCTGATTAACCCCTTAGATATGCAACCAACATAAACCGGTGTCTGTGCACTTTTCATGCATTTCCAGATGATCCTTTCTTGCAACTGAACCAGCAGAGGCATTACCAGTGAAAATTTAGTTTCTAGCTCATTCTCTCCTTATGGATCTTCTTATTTGCAGATAATCAACACGTGTGGAAACAATAGCAGACTGTTTCAATAAACAGCAGATCAAATCGTGGACAAATTAAGACGTGCTTGATTTTCGTAAGAATACAAAACTGGAGATTATGATCCATCTCTGTCAAGAAATAAATGGTGATGAATTTTATGAAATATAAAAAATGTACCGATCAAATTCTAATACAATTAAATGTTCTGAACAGATTGGATGAATGAAATAAAAATTCTTATGTTCGTTCTTGCGCCTTAAGATTAAGAGAAACTGAAGACTCCAATGCACTAATGAAATTTTGTCAATAAACCTCTATTCTGTGTTCAGTTACATCTAATCTTATGTATTCTTAGTGAAAAGGATATTATATGCTATTTTATTTTAATTAAATAGTTTATTTAGTTATAAAAAAATGGTATCTGAAACTATCTTATTCCATGTTTTATTCGTACAGTTCCAACTAACAAAATGAAAGGATACAATAGGCTAAGGCTAAACTCATTCCTAGTATTTAGTTGAATACGTCACGATGCGCCTCTTCGAACGCTTTTGTCATTATATGATTAACATAAAACTAAAGATGAGGACTAACTTATATTAGAAAATACGTTGACTTGTCGACTTACAGTTTGTCTTAGTGTTGAAACGTGAACCTCTGATGGTCACGATACTTCTGTGTCCTGTTTCAACTCAATCATCGCAAATCGTCAAAAACAAAATGCGCTCTATGTATTTTTACCTTCTTTCTGTTTCATACTTTTCGTCGTAGTCAGGATGCTATAAAATGGTAATGACACCGCTAGTGTCGACGTAAGAACATTACCACTGTCAATGACATGAAAATATTTGTAAAAAATTCGTTCTGCATGTACTCCAACAATTAAAAGTATTTTATGTTTATGATAAGTCTCCTTTATGATTGACAGAATCATATTTAAAATTAATCTATTCCATTTGCAAATAGAAGAATAGTGTATTTATCTGGATAATTTACATCAACACGATGAAGAATTTATGATAAAACGTTTATTACAATTAAACTTTGTCATTATTGTGATACACAAATTGAAATGATATCTGAAACAGAACAATTCGAGATAAAAGTGAGGGATGATATTTCACCGACAAGAAGAACATCGATGTATTGATCATTTTTGGAATGTGACTTTTATTCTGGTATGTTTATTTACTTCTATGATTGAGTTGCAGATATTGACGAATATATCTTTTTAACCTATATCGTTGTTTCAGAGTTTGTCCTTGATTTATTTAAATATAAACAAAGTGCTGCTGTTGTTTTTGGAATAAAAGAAGTTACTTTTAGAACAGCAACGATTTATTTCATTCCTCAGTTTTTTGTCTGGAATGGTCGGATAACAATTCGATCATTACGTATATCCTTATTTCTATAAATATTGCTTGCTTACACATCTAACTAAAAAAAGCTTGTGGGCATCGACATACGAGTCTAAAATAAGGACGGGTAATGAGGACCAAAAAAGCTTTGTCTCCATCCGAATTTATTGCTTTTTCTATGTAATAGAAGAAATTCTCGCAAAAATGTGAGTAAATATACCTTTGTTCTACTTTCGTTGTCGCAATGCACCATTATCTAATTATACAAGCGGAAACATCCTTTTTTACGTCAGCAATTTTACTGTTAGAATATTCTGTCATATATCTGATTAATTTTTATTTTTATACTTTTGTCATATAAAGTTTTTTGTACTCTCTATAGTAACAAATTGTTCTTTTGCTTCGTTCTAGATCTATTTTATTATTTGTTACTGAATTGATTCTGTCAAAATGGGTAAAGGCTACGAGAATTACATGTCCAAAAAATGGTTTCATCCGACCAATATTGGAAATATGAAACGTATCTATGTGGCAGAACAAAAATCCGATGCTGACAAGAAAAAACAACAAGATTTACGTGAACAATATGAACGTGAACAAGAATTATTTAATAATAAACAATTAATGGGTGATGAAAAAGCACGTCTCGGTCTTTCATTTATGTATAATCCACCAGCAGGCATAGCCAAAGATCAAGCCCAGCAAGAACAACATCAATCACAAGACAATGATGGAAGTTCAGGAGTGGATAACGATGAACCCAAATTTGAATGGCAACGAAAATATAATGCGCCAAGAGAAAGTTGGGCAAAAAATGATGAAAAAATTCGTGATCAACCATTTGGAATCGAAGTTAGAAATGTATGTATAAAATGGATATGTTTAATTGATTTGTAAAGTCATTTATTGTTCCCCGTTGTTATTATAGGTTCGTTGTATTAAATGTAAAAAATGGGGACATATCAATACGGACAAAATTTGTCCACTCTATGGTAAATCTCGTTTGGACACTGATTCAACAACTTCATCGTTAAACCCAAATCAAGCAGTAGTAGGTCGTGAAATACAATCGACAAATGATTTAATTCAAAATTTAAAAAATGATGGATTATTAATGAAAAAATGTGTGATGATGAAAGAAAATGAGACAACGGAAGGTTTTGACGATGATAACGATAATGAGAGGAGAAGAGAGAAATTAGAACAAGAAAAAAATGAATTAAATTTTTTACAAAATTTACCAAGTAAAATGAAACATCGATTATTAAAACGTTTAAAAAAATTAGAACGAAAAGGTTTCTTTACGGAAATCAAACAAGAATGTTAGATGTTACCCGGCTGTTTTGTTGTAAATAGTATAAATAAATCTCATATTCTCGACTGACTTTTGTTGTTAGCCAGGACAGACATGGTAGGGTTTAGTTTCACCAGTTAAAAAGATCGTAGCTGCTACTATTGAATGTTTACTAATAAAAGAGGAGAAAAGGATTTAATTATTGAAAAAGAACACATCTTTATGTTTAACCTTTCTATTTCATAAAGACTGGCATAGTTTACTGTATTTACTTGTTTGAGACCACAGATGTTTTATTTGTCTTAGTTTTCCCTAAGTTAATTGAACGATTAGGTTCTGAATGGGGTCTGTTAGAGAAATAATGCTTTTTCAATGTCATTTTAGATTGATAGATCAAGTCTAAAAATGTTTTCTGTAATGATTGCTGGTCGTCTCGTAAGTATCGAATACTTATGTTTTGTTTGTTATCTTGAAACTCTGTGATTTTTAGCCTCAAACAAATTTTCAACAAGTTAGCGAAACACAATTTGTTATTCCTGTATCTGATGTTGATCATGTTAACCATTTGGTTGTATTTATGACTGGACAACTACCCTTTCCTGATCATCTTGGAGGCGGCGGTGAGAATTTTATTTAGGTTTGTCTTTTAGTTATTCGTTTACTAAACGCTAGAAAAAAAATAATGTATTTTTTTGTATTATTTAGTATATTTCAGTTGGCCAAGTACAGAAGGTCCCACATGGATTTATTTGGGGAAAATAACGAATACTAAACCAAGCGCAATATTCAAAATTAACAAAGTCAAAGGTACGCTTAAAATAACCATCATGTGAGTACCCGGGCCGTCGTGACACATAGCAAAGCATTTTGCTTTTGAGTGAAATAAAACTTACAGCAGTATACGATGGGCATTTTTCTTAATAGCAGGCGGACATTAGAATTTTTTTCTTATAAACCATTTTTACAGGAATAATTATCATTAGTTAGTCGAGTGAGACTGAAGCGAAGGAAAAATGGGGAAACGCATTGCATTGCAGTTCTTTTTTTGCAAAACTTTTTAGTTGGAAAGTCAGTTTTCTTTCTGATTATTTGCAAAAAAAAAAAAAAAAATTTCTATCATACAAGCGGACTTGATTTGTAGACTCAATCACATCCATTTTTGATGTCAAAAAACTGAAATTCACTCACATATACAGATTTTAACGATGCTTTCTCGACCGAGTTTTCCCATCATTAGAAAATGATTAAAAACTTTTTTTTTAGGATAGATAATGTGCAATGTGAACTTCTTTATTCTCTGAAAAAGACCTGAAGAATAAACATTTTCGTTTTTTCGCTATGTCCACTGTTCAGTATGGTGAGCTTAGAGTAGATATTACTGACGGTAAAAAAAAGTGCTACTGACGAGGGAAGTACCCCAACTGATAAATCGCTTTTTCAACGAAACCGAGTGGACTATAGGTAGTCGACGATGCTGATTCCGAATATCACCATGAATGCTGCTGCTAGGCCTTCAAAGACCGGT